ACCTCGCGGGAGAGCGCTTGTCGGGGCACAAACACCGCCGTGCCGAGCCGGCGTGGAATCGCTCGACCCGCAATCGAGCCCGTCGCGAGCTTCTTGGAGACGCGCATTGGGCTGCAGCAGAGCTTCTCGGCGAGGAACCCACGCAGCGTCGTACCAGGTGGCAGGGCCAGCGCGCCTTGGACAAAGTACTCGATGAGCTTGGCAGCATACCGCTGCTCGTAGTGGAACCAGAGGCCACGCGTTTCGCACTTGGCGGTCGCAACGACCTTTTCATCGATGGCCGGCGCCACATGCCGCGCCGCAAGCGGCTCGACCGCCCGCTGGAAGAGCGTCTCGGCGTGCACAAGTCGCTGGAGCGTCGCAACGTCTGCATCCCTGACGGCGCGCGGCTCAAAGTGGCAGCGGCCAATGCTGCGCAAGCTGGGATACGGCAAGGATGCAATCTTCTTGGAGACGCGCATCGGTGCGCAGTGGAGCTGGCCCGCCACGTAGCTCCGGAGCGACGTACCCGCCTCGACGGTCGCGAGGAGGCCGCTGAGGAAGCACTCGATGAGCGCGAGCATGTAGCCTTCTTCTTCGGGCAGCCACACGCCGCTCCGCTCAAGGATTGGCGCGTCCGCATGATCGGGCGCCAGTAGCCGTGCAATGTCCATCGTGGGTCCAATTCAGAAATGACCAACGATGAGGGGCCAGCGCGACCGGCGGACCACGACGGCAATGGCCGAAAGAGGCGGAACCCCGCAGAGATATCAGAAGGCCCAGCGCCTTTCCTCCTTGCCAAATAGGCGTGTACAAGTAGCAACCCGGATGGCGCCACCCACCGCTCCATCGTTGCAGTTGAGTCCACTCTTCAGTAGCTACGCGTCGCTTGCAGTCGCAGCAACTAGGATGCGCTTCTTCGCACGCACCTGCGAGAAGCAAGTCGACGTGCGTCGCATCTTAAATTGACCCAATCGCTGGCGACGCCATGCAAGGTGACAGGCGGCTGGTCCACCAGAGGAGTAGTCCAACGAGCCACGCAGCAGGTGACAGACTTGAACGGCAGGTGCGGCACTCCGAAGGTCGCTCGGGTGGTACCACCTGGCAGCACGATCGGTGCACCGACGAGCCCGAGCCCGAGCCCGAACGCCCACCCACAGGTGCAACATGGTCATTCGCCCCTTGGCCTCCATGGCGTGACGGGATGGACTGCTGGCGGTGCCATGAAGGTCGTCGCCTTCGCAAAGCACTGCATCCCACGTCTGAAGACATGAAAAGGAAAACAGAGTACGACGACGCACCGGTTGCTGCGCCATGGCATGCTCCTTCTGGCTCATTGGCGATCCAGAAACCCGACCACGGCGCTGGCGACCGTTGCAAAGGTGTGATGTGCAGATGCACCATCGATGGCCCATCACCAGCCAGCGCCCGCTGCATGGATGCCACACGCGTGTCGACGTTGCGGCGGTAACCCATCGCATGCGTTTGCACTTGGCCATGGTTACGCGATCAAAAGGTCGTGGCTCTCGGGCTTGATGCCGAGTTATCATCATGTGCGCCAAGAAGCAGCCCCGCAGCGCCTGGCAGGAGCGCGCGCTCGAGCATTGGCCGGTCTTGCGCAGCCGCACATGCCTGCGACTTGAGCACGCACTCGGTGTGGATCGTTGTCGTGCCGTCGGGGAAGAGCAAGAGCCAAACGGGAAACCCATCGTTGAGAAACGACTCCATGTACTTTACCGGGCAAGAAAAGGATGGAGGGCCTGCAGAGAAGCGGCAGCCTCGTACGCTGAGTACGCCGCCGAGCGTGCGCGAGCTACCGGCGCCGAGATTGAAGTTTGAGCCGCGCCATGGTCCAGCCCATGTACAGGGCACGTAGCGAGCTCTGCATGCTAAGCTTAAGCGACAGCACGGCACCGACCACGCGCACATCGAGCAATCGCAGCAGCAGTCGTGAGACCAGACGGAGTGTATCTGTCGCGATGACTAACACTGCAGGAGGTGTCAACTTGGTGGTCGGCCACCATGATGATCGGCGAGGTCGCCGCCCAACCCGCGTCGCCACTGCACGCACGCTCATCCCGCGTGTACGAGCGCGGCGTCTACCGCAGCGTGGCAGCTGGAAAGAGAACCTCATTCGGTCGACCCAGTCGACGAGACCGGTCGCCCTGACGACAGCATGAGCCGCGAGCGAGGCGCGTGGAAGCCGATGCAGTGAGTCAAAGAGTAGGGATCTCACAGGGACTTGAACCCGGATCTACCTGGTGGTAAACCAGTGTCTATACCGCTTGACTAGAAGATGTCGACTAGATATCTGTCTTCTTGACTCAGTGCAGCGGCGAAAGCGCGCGCGGCAAAAGCAGCACAAACGTCGACGCGTACAGCGCAGCGAGGACCACCACATGCCCACGCAGCAGCACGAGACAGGCCAGGCCATCTTGCCCTTTTATCCGGATGTGTCCGGATAACCCAACGCGGCATAAGATCTGATTATGATAGCGGAATCCCCAGCACCCAGCGGCCAGTGTGGTCAGCGGCGAACGACGCTGAACCGTAGAGGCAAAAACTTGGCTACGTAATCACTTGTGATGGCGCACCCGCCACAACAACGTGCAATCATGCGGCTTGCCCTGCAACACCGCCTTGGTACTGGCCCATTCTGCAATGGGCTACTCGAGCGGCCGTGCCATGTGAGCGCATTGGCTGCAACAACGTCGACGAAGCGCCTGCGTCAACACTGAACGCAGCTGCACCCGAAAGCTCTTCACCTGATCAGCGAGTGCGACTGCGAGCGCCACGGCAGCCTTGTCGTCTCCTGCCACTTTACCATTGCAAGACGGACTGCAAGAGCGTGTTCTGCGTCTGGACAAGTGCGCTCATGCGAGCACGGACGCACCGCCGTATCAAACCAGCCAGCGTCTTTGCAAACAGTGTATTTAAAAACAGCGTTTCGTTGCGCCCGATGAATTCCGCGCCGCTGATTTCGCTACACGCAGCATCGTGTAAAATACACATATACCACGTGTGGGAATTCATTTCACACTTGAATACGCTAATCCGAACCATGAAATGTGTGAAAAACATAATCACCACGGTGGTGTTTACGTGTAGCGACGTGGAATTCGATGTGCTTCGATCGAAACCTCCAAACAGCAATTTCAAAAACACACATTTCCCACTTTGCACTGGAATGGACGCCAGCGTTCTGCGGCTCCGCGCGACGCTCGGCGCCGTATGGATCTTCCTCAACATGGCGGTCCTCAACCTGTACCAGCTCTGGATCATGGCCTTCAAGCCCTTTGGCCGGCGCTACGCCCGCCAGCTCATGGGGTACGAGCAGCAGCCATCGGCGCTTTGTAGCTCAGGCGTGGTGGCACTGTAGCACGCTCTGCTTCCAGGACTGGATCGACTTTACTGCCTTCTACTCGCCCTCGGCCACGATGGTCGTCACGTACGCAGCGAATCGTCGCGCCACCACGTCTCATGTGTCGAGTGTAGCGGTGACGCCATGCCCAAGGACACGAGCGTGCCCGTCATCTTTATCGCCAACCACCAAGTCGACGCCGACTGGTGGTACATTCTGCAGCGTACGCCTCGCATGCAAGGACACGACGCTGAGCTTAAGGTTGTAGTGATCCAAGCCCACGGCGGCACGCCCAACGTCAAGATCGCCATGAAGGACTCGCTGGCCAAGGTGCCCGTCTTTGGCTGGGGCATGTTCATGTTTGAGACGCTCTTTCTGCGCCGCGACCTTGCGCACGACAAGCCGCACGTCCAGCGTACGTGCCTAACTCGCTCGCTGGCGCCCAGCGCATGGTGTAGAGTACATGGAGTCGTTTGTCGAAGACGCCTTTCCCGTCTGGCTCATGCTCTTCCCCGAAGGCACGACGATCCACACCGAGTACGTGGTCAAGTCGCAAAAGTTTGCAGCCGCGCAAGGCCGGCCAAAGCTCGAGCGCGTGCTTTTGCCACGCGCCGCGGGGCTGCAGCTGCTTCTTGACGCATATGCCAACACGGACATGAAGCCCGAGATTTACGACCTCACAATCGCATACCCAGGTTACTCGGGCGAAGTGCCAACCTACGAGATGGGCTACAGCCGCCATATCGACACGGAAGTGCCGTCCATGCAGCACGTGCTGGCGCGGACGCACCCGAAGAGCGTCCACTTGCACATCACAAAGCATGGATTTAACGACGCCAACGCCAACGTTGAGAGCTTCCTCGACAAGCAGTGGCTCCGGAAGGAAGCGCTCCTCAACGAGTTTATTGCCCACCAGGTACGACGCCTCTCCCTACGTCGCACCAAATAGACACGTAGGAGTTTGCATCGGCCGCGCCGTCTCGCCGCCAAGTCACGCCCGAGGTCCGCGTCTTGACACTGTCATTTTTGGCCAACGCTTCAACACGTAGACCAACGTCTGGGGTACGCTTCGTCTCTGGGCGGGCGCCGCCATCTCGCTCGTGCTGCTGCCCGTCGCGCTGCCCTGTACGCCTGGATGACAATGCAATCGCATCCAAACCTACTGTACGCGTAGGTTTGCTTCTCTGCAGCACGGTCGCCCATGTTCAAAACAAGACGCGCACCAAGTCGACCAAGTCGGCCTAGTTAATCATCCAGTATACGAATGCCATAGAACGGCAGGTTTGGTTGTCTTGACGGACGAATTCACGGCGATGGTGGAGCAACTGGTTGTGACGTTGCAGAAACCATCAAAAACTGATTGATGAGACGCGGCCAAGTGGGAGACCCAAGATCGCACCGTTGGACGAGCGATGGCGTGCGACCGCTGGACGATCTTGGTTCTCCCACGTGGCCGTGGGTGTCTTCAGTTGGAGCCGTCCGCTGTCGTGGTGGATGCCAGCTGATCGTTGGGCACCTCATCGGACGACATAAGAGACAGGAGCTAGGACCTGGTCGTTTTGGCGGCGCTTGGTCGTCGGTGTTTCTGGACAACGTCGGTGGGCGAGCGATCTGGTCCGAGCGGTTAAAGAGTCCTCCAGATGATCGATCACACTCATAACCTTGGCGCTCGTACATGTAGCTAGCAGAAAGAGGGCCACGTCGTCTTTCGCAACGTCAGTCATCATTGTTTACGTACTCTTTCCGCCAGGATGCATCGTGAGCCGGTCGAAACCACTTGTCCGGGGGCTCGTACGCTCCAAGAACTCCTGTTGTAGCAACCCATCACGTGGTCAACGGCTGGTTCTCGCGCCTTGTCCCGCAAGCAACGTCGTCGCCTTCAGTGGTTCACCAATATCGCTACAATGGTCTATCGACATCACCAGCGCACCGCAGTCGACCGAGCACCATGACAAGTTACCTTCATATGTCATGGCTTTGATGCTGTAGCCGATGTTTCAAGTTGTAATTAGCTCATCCCTTAGGATGTTAAAATACTTGGCTTACCCAGGCTACAGGTTCTACGCGTGGCGGTGGCCGTTGATCGGAAAGAGCACGAGACCGGCGTCGTCAAAGCAGTCGCTGCGCAGCTGCACCAAGTGCGCGCGAGCGTCGTTCCGGCCCGTCGCGGCGCCAGCCTCAATGTTGGCGACAAATCCCAGCGTCCCCACGCGGCGGGGTAGTGCGTGGCCGGCCAGCGTCGCCAGCGACAGCTTCTTGGAGACGCGCATCGGTGTGCACTCGAGCTGCCGCGAGAGGTGCGCGCGGAGCGACGTGCCGTCTGGCAAGCCAAGGTGACCTTGGATAAAGTACGAGATCATGGCATACGTGTAATCTTGCTCCTCGTCGCTCCACGGACCTGCGCGCGCACTCGGTGCTGTGTTGAACGGCCGCGGAATCGGCGTCGCCCGCTGTACCTCGACGACCTTATCAAACGACACGACGAGCAGATCGAGCTCGTCGCGCGCGGCTTGGCGCTTGATGCCATGGAGCACGGATGGGTCGCAGACGTAGCGCAGCCGGCCAAAGTGCTTGGGGTTCACAGCATCCGGTGCGTGGAGCTGCGCGAGTTTTTTCGAGATGCGCATTGGCAAGCAGTCGAGCTTGTGGGCCAAGAAGACGCGGAGCGACGTGCCGGGAAGGACGGTGGGGTAGTAGCCCAAGAGAAAGCTCTGGATAAGCGCGACGGCATACGCCTCTCCCTCGGTCGACCACGACCCACACCGGTGCGCAAGCAAGATCGTTGTGGCCATTAGGAATTCGAAAGTGCACCACGAGGTTCTTGCCATAACGGGTTCTGAGTTTACGTTGCGAGATGCGTGATTGGCGCAGTCGCGTCGGAACAGTCGCTCGTCCAACGGCGGGTTGCATCAGCACGCGCATGATCACACGCTCGACACCGATACAGGATGATCACCCGACAACGAATATGCCTCACCAAGTTCCGCTGTGTCGCCAACGACCAGCTAGAAAGTGCACTATAAAAAGTGCAATGTGCAGTCTTCCGGCCCTCGCCGGTCAAAGAAGAAACGGGTAAGGGCCTTTGCTTGTACTGTGGGGTTCATTTGTGGAACGCTAAACACGGAACAAACGCGCTACGGTAACATGTCTATTGAGCTACATCAACCTCTTACAGCGACGCGTGCATGGAACTGCTCGTTGAAAGAAAGTACGCCGACGACGGCGACACCATCTTGAGCTGCTTGAGCAGCATGCGATGCTCGCGCGGAATGAACAAGGCCGAGCCAATGCGCTTGGGCAGCTTGCGCCCCGCAAGCTCGGTCGTTGCGAGCTTCTTGGAGATGCGCATCGGGCTACAGTGGAGCTCCGCCGCTAGGAACGACCGAAGTGTCGTGCCCCGCGCCAGCGGCAAGTCGCCGCGCACAAACGATAGAATCAAGTTGTACGCGCGGGCTTGCTCTTGGGGCAGCCACATGCCAACGCGGAGCGACGCGGGCGACGGCGGTGGCCGGTCGTCGTCGACCACATCTGGCGACGTCTGAGTCTGGTCAAAGATGCGCTGGAGGTACTGGATGTGGCGCAGCATCGTCGCCGCGGCCTCGGGCGCCAGCGTGCGATCCAGCGTATAGCGCTGCTTGCCGACCTTTTGAGGCAAATGGACGTGCTTTGAGAGGCTGTAGAACGCGAGCCGCTTCGAGACGCGCATTGGCGAGCAGCGCAGTCGCTTGGCGAGGAAGCACCGGAGCGACGTGCCGGGCGAGACCGCGCCCGCAAAGCAGCCGGCGAGGAAGCCATCAATGAGCGCGAGCGCGTAGCTGTCTTCGACGTCGGTCCACATGCCTCGGCGCAAGTCGCACGGCGGCACGGAATGGCATAAAAGGCGTGCAATCTCCATCGTGCTAGCACTACTGCCGTCTTGGGAAATGAACTTGTGGCAGCCGTCGACCAAGTGGCGCCAGTTGCAGATGAGATGCACCGCGATCTTCGACACTGATCTCTGAACCGTCCGAAAGAAAGGCCACGACCCCAACGACGTCAGCCTGTTGAAGTCACGCACCAGCGGACCCACCACGTTCTGCCCCTCGCATCTGCAACACGAGATACATGTCATTGCACTTGGCGCTGTGGTCGCTCATGTCGAGGCCGGCGTGGGCCAAGAAACCAAGCTGCCGTGCCTCTTCCTTTCGACATTTTCAGAGCGCGTGGCGCCGGGCTCGCTGGAAGCCCATGCGTCAGCTGCGTGCCCTTCGATAGAAGGTGGCGACATTCCGTTGCTATCGCTGGGTTTTGATTGTTATAACGCCACGTTGAAGGGCAATCTGGTGTTAGATATGCTGTTAGATCGATGGCAACCCTTGTCCTGGCACTGCCACGACGCCGCGTCATCAATCCCCGACGCCCGCGCTGACCACGACCGTTCGATGGACAGTGCTACTAGGTCCAAGGCGGAGACGACAGCGGCGCCCAGTGCCACGCATCGTTGCCGATTTCTGAACACTTGTGGGAACGGATGAGATAAAGATTTTAGATTTAGCGAATAAATAAGACAGAGCGCCCTCAGACTTCGACCATGGCGGCCCGGCGCAGGAGCAAGAGCGGCGTCGCGATCGGCCGCAGCGTCGCTTCGGCGTACGCATTCGGGTTGGTCTTGAATGCAAAGCACGCGGCGCGGGCAGCCGCGAGCTCGGCCTCGGCCTTGAGCGCGGCGTGTGTAAACTCGGCCGTGAGCTTGGACTGCGGACGGTACGTGGCCGTACCGACCTTCTTGGGGATCGTCTTGCCGCCAATGAGACCGGACGCGAGCTTCTTGGAGATGCGCATGGGGCTGCAGCCGAGCTGCTCGGCCAAGTAGGCGCGCAGCGTTGTGCCCTTTCGGAGGCGGAGCTGGCCCTTGAGGAAAAAGTCAATCAGCTTCCACGCGTACACTTGCTCTTCGCGGAACCAGTAGCCCGTGCGGTGCATCGCATTCTGGTGCATGTCCATGCCGCGCTTCTGGGCTTCTTGCGGCGACGCGAGGCGGTGTTCGTGCGCGAGGCAGCGCTGGAATGTCGCTTCGAGCTGCGCCAAGTGGGCCAGCGTGCGCGTGCGCTGGGCCGTGTCAATCGGTTGCTCGAGGTACCGCTGCTGGCCGAGCTTCTTGGGCAGTGCGACACCCGCGAGCTCGAGCGGTTCGCGGCTGAGTTTCTTGGAGATGCGCATCGGCGAGCACGAGAGCTTGTCGGCGAGGAAGAGGCGCAGCGACGAGCCGGCCGAGAGCGCGGGAAAGTAGCTCAAGAGAAAGCACTCGACGAGCGCGAGGGCATATTGCTCTTCTTCGTAAAACCACTTGCCCGTGCGCAGCGATGAGGAGGACGACGTGGACGAAGCAATGCTGGCGGGCGACGACGGCGGCGACGACGGGCCCAGCACCGGCGACGACGGCGGCGAAACCGAGGCTGTCGACGTCGCGTCCGAGAACTCGTCGTCGTCCATGCAAGGCGAGAGGAGGCGAGAGAGGTCCATCGCGAGAGAGGGATGTAGGTAAGGCAACGCGAATTGCAGAATGAGACCAGCGCACCATAATGGCGATCCTCCCTTCAAGAGCAACGTCAAAGCGGCGTGTGCCTGCGAATTCCACGCGGCGCATCGGGCCAATCAAATCGCGCGAGGTATCCAGTCCACGGCGCCTTCGTTCGACCTGGTCACGTGTGCGCACGCTCCTGATTGGCCGCCGACCCATCTCTGAAGCGATCGGCATGCATTCCCGTGCCTGAGCTGCCGGCCTTGCCGCCTTGCTATGCTCGCAGCCAATCAGCGTGTCGCACTGCGACGGATTGGCTGGCTGAAAATTCGAACCGCCAATGAAATGCATTTGAGATCGGTTGCGGCCCAATCGCATGCAAAGGCGCGTGGCGTCGGTGGTCACCCCGTGCGACGGTAGGATAAGCCAGCGGTGTCGGCATAGATATGGCCTGGGCGTTGAAGGCACGTTCAAGGTCGCACGAAGCGCGCACGCTGATTGGCCCAAGCCAGGCCCACGGATGTTGGCTCGCGATGCCATCAAATGGGATGCTGCTCCACTTCACTGTCCCCGCCTGGCACGCTGATTGGCAGCAAGACGCGCTTGCATAGCAACGAAAAGAGATCTCCGTGTCCCAAGACTCCGTCGCTTCAAAAAGCCGCGGGCGGGAAGAAGCGGTGGTGATTTCACCTGCGCGTCTAGCCACGGCGCGTGACGTCAGGATGCAAGCGACACGGAAGACGCTTTGGCGACGAGAAACGGCGCTCGATGAATCCAGTGGCGGTTTTTCGATGCCGCGAATGGCAGATCTTGTCTTGTTCTCGAGAAGACGGAGCCGTGTAGAAGAGGCCGGGTTGGGATGATGCGATACAATAGCGACAGCAATCTCATAAAGACCATCGTTCCCACTCTGCTCCTCATCCGATTGACAGATCGCGTCCTCGAATCGTTTACTGCACGAGATATCTATCGTATTCATGTGCTTCGGTTCGCCGTTCTTAGGTCGTCGGCGTGGCGCTCCTTTGTGTATTTCAAAGCAAAGCCGAGAGCGCGTCCACACAGCCTCGTGTCCCTTCTGCCGTCGCCTGCGACTCGTTGCGAGGCGTCCGACAAGGGCGTCACGTACCATTTCGCTCGTCGCCAAAAGTGGCAGACTTTTGCAACATGACTCTCACAGATCGCCTCTAAATTCAAAACATGAGCTACAGCGCACATTGATGGTGTGTGGAGGATCCGCACAGACGTCATTTTCGACCACCACTCGCCCCTTCTCGCGGGCAGCGTCTTTACGCGTAACTTTAGCCTGAGAATGACATTGAGTAAACGTACATAGGCGTACTTTCTGCAAGCTTTGCTTGGCAGGCCTTGGCCGCGCTACCGGCGACGCAGTTTTCTTCGTGCTCTTACGTGCTTGAAAAAAAGCGGTTACCGTTATAGACGACTGGCTCCGAGAGGTCGGTCCTTCAGTGTCAAATATTGTCATGGTGAGGAAACCGGAACAGACTATCGATGTCGGTGGGGAATAAAAAGAGACTGGCATGACGTCAGCGACTGGGGCGTGCGATGCTAGATACATTCAATTGCGTGCTTTTGGTGCGGTTAAAGAGACAGGATGCTCGGACAGAGTGACAATGGCAGAGGCGGCATCAACTGCGACGCCGCCGTAGAGGCGTAATACGCGGTGTAGCAGGCGACGACGACACTGCGTCGTGGCTTAGCGTGTGGAGATTGATTGTAGAGTTGGCCATCGTGTGCGAAAAAGCTGGTGATGAACCAACCTCCCGGCACTTCTCAGCGTCAGGCGCCCGCAGGTGCACTCCAAGGCATTCGGGAGCTCGAGCACTCCAAGCGCGCAGATGCCATCCGAGGCGAGGCAGTTATACTAGTAGTTCGTATACTAGTAGTTCCCGCACGGCTTAACTGATAGACTGTGACGGCAACGAACGCCACACCATCCAGAACGAATGCCATGGCATGGGCCAGAAAGGTAAAATAATCTCGATGTTTGATTGGTGGAGTTTTTAATAACGATGTCTCATTGGCCCAAAAGATCTCCGCCGACATTTCTAGCAATCGAGGGACCCATGGCCATGAAAGCACAATAAGATCTGGCGCTGGGTAACACTTGCATCTCGCTCCATACATTGATGATGCGCATGCGCTACAGACGCCATTTCTGCGTCGCAGTGATGGAACGTGAGGACCCTGGCCCTTGACCCTTCACAGCAACGTCCAGGCCTCATCACATATCCGGATACCACTGGGTGCAGTCGTCGGAAAACAGCCGCCGGTTGCCAAAACCGGTTATGTCATGCCATCACCAACCGACTAGTAAAAACCGGTTATTGTCCGACCTAGCGCGTATGGTGCGTGCGGCAACAGTCGACATGATTCCTTCAACAACGCTATAATAGCAACACCACATGCCAACAACACGTTCTTCGTTTTTCTTCGCCCCTTACTCGAGCTTCTTTCTGTCGTCGCCCGAAGCGCGGGTCTGAGTCATCGTGTCTGGCCTTCTCGTTGCATGACGTTTAAACACGCTGCGGCCACATAGCGAGAGCAATGTCCTTCTATTGAATGTATCGTTCGTATACTGCAACGAGACGCCGATCTGCAGGTGGCCGGCTCGCTCGGCGGTGAAATGATGCGCTCGGTGCTGTGCCGGATTGTAAAACACTCTTCCGCATGCAGCGCCATCAGTAAAACCCACCACCTTGGTTGCTGCGACTGTAGTCATCGTGTTTCTAAACAGCGAGTTTGGGTGCAGCCACATGGGGCGGTATACTAACTTTCTAACCTTCGCACCGAGCCACTGAGACGACAACGCCTAAGCCCTGGCGTGGCACATCGGCGTCACTGTCGGCGTGGTAACGTTGCCGGCGTCTTCGTCTCTCTTCGT